ATTATATACTCTATTGTCTGATGTATTTTAGGAGCAATGCCGTAGCCAGGATTTTCAATCTATGTTGCACAATATTAGGGTGGACCCACTTTACGCATAAATTCAAATAATGTGAACACATTTTCTTAAAAAGTTGTCCCATTTATGCCATATGAATAATCTTAGCTAGACTCATTTTACACAAAATATTAGAAATCTGGACCCATTTTTAAAATGTGGAGCAACTTTTTGTGAACCCGATAGAAAAATTGTGTGGGACTGTCCCAACTGTCCCAATAGCTGGCTACGGCATTGCGTTGCTTGCGTTTGCGTAACGTGCCTAAATAGGTCTTATTTGAACCAAGCTTAAACACAGGCTCTGGAGGAAAACAATGTTGAGCCCCCTTTTCCCCCGTCTTTAAATTTTCAAAAGTTTGTATCTCATTAACCGTTCCCGAGTTTTTCGTCATACAGGCTGTTTGTGTCTTAGAAAAATCAGTTGTACAACATATATATTTTTCCCTTCGGAACCTGGCTTTAATAAGTGTAGCCATCCACGCAGCACTTTGAGGAGTAGTGTGTACATACCTACATTGAGTCACAAGCATTTATGCACCTAGTGTAATTCTTCAGTTAAATAATTAACTATCTTGCTTGAGATCAGTTCCACCATACACTGGTGTGGCATCCAAATCAGCAAATAACAACATTAACACTTAAACACAAATAATACCAAGGTTGTTAATTCCTCAATTCCTATTAATTAGTTACGAAGGAGTTTAATTAACAATATTGTAGGTGTAACAGCTAAGCTTCTGATAGGGTTATTGAACCCATAATTCGAAAGCGTAAACAAGAAATGCGTGCCACGTTTATATATGCAACTTTCTTACTTCTACTACATTTTATTTTCCCATTATGTCTTCAACTCTGTTACTATCTACAGGTCATTACGTTAATGATCGATATCTAATATTGCTCGTTAGCATTTGTGCCATCACCGTTTCGTCCGATATTTATACCAAAACTCAGCGATATAAATTCTCGTTTAATCATCAACAACGTCATAAAGTTTGTCCAGTTAAAATATCAAAATTAATGGTATCACTCCATCGGCATATCTTCTTCCCCTAGGCCTACACTATATTGACTTGTCAGTTTCATACTAAATATCCCTAAAGTTTAGCCTCATGTGTGCCCTTATTTGAACAGGGATGGCGCCAGGATTTCCCCGACGAGGGGTCTGAGGGAAGATTTTTCCTACGAGAACAAAGTGGGCGTGGTTGAACGTCGCTTAAAATGTTTCGAAAGTGGTCCATGTGGCGAAGCCCCTGAAAATTTTGAAATTTAGGGCTTTGAAAACCTTATTCAATCGATTTTAGAGTCTACTAATATTTACAAAATACATATAATTTTTTTTCTCCCAGACGAATTGTGGCCCCTCCCACCCCCACCCGCTGGCGCCACCCCGGTATTTAAATTGATGTATCCACTGTTATGTTGAATCACATGCTATCTATTTGCTTTACATTTGCCCAGTCATTGAATCAAACACTTAGAACACGTACACCCAGATCCCAAGGGAGAATTTTATAATATTTCTGTTAGTAATCAGTGCATTAGTTTTTGACCCTACCTGGTACTTATACTCATAGTGGAGGGAGACACTACCGTAGATAAAGTAACCCAGTGACAAGTGAAATGCACATCAAGGATTCGAACCTCCAATCTCAAGTTGAAAAGTCCGAATCACAACCTCCTCCTTATGCTCTCCATACAATATGTCTTTGTAATAGTGACACACAATAGGCAATACTATAACGGTGCATCAATAATAATTATTCAATTTAAAGTTACTTAAGTTAAAAAGCAAATAATTTTAACTATCAGATATAGTGTCGTTATAAATAAAGCCATATCATAATACATAATAAATTTCAGCTAAGGGGATTGTAATCTTTATTTAGCTTACCTATTCTATTGTGAGCAAGTATATGGATCGCTAAAAACACTAGCATATCTTTTTCAAAAATCACATTAGAGCTTTCAAAACTTTTGGTTTATCTTTTTTCAATTTCATTTTTCGCCATTAACCATAAAAGAGACGAATCAGCAATTGCGTTTTTGCAATTGGGTTTTGTGGATTGCATTAATAGACTTTGATTTCCTTTTCGATATTTAATACCTTAATTCGGTAATATAAATATTTAGATTGGTATAGCTAGATAATAAAGCATACAAGAGTAGGCTGTGGTGTTCCAGGGATTGCGTCAATCGATTATTGACTTGATTGCTGTGCTTTAGGATTGGACATGTATTGAAAAGGCAACACAACTCGTATGTTTTCTTTAGAGGATTACCTACAAGCCATTCCTTTCGCTTCATTACTTTTGTTTAAAAATTGCAAATTCAATGCAGATTTTATTTTATTCAAGCATTTTTGTGTTGAAATTCACGCTGTGTTTGATAAAGGTTGTGCTTAACTGACAAGTTTGTCGACTTTCTGTTTAAATATTTTGCTGTGCGGCGGAATTTCCGCAAGACGATGTGGAGTTTATACAGTAGTTCCATATGCTCCAGTTTACAACAATAATTATTCTATTACTGTATTTACATCGAATGAATACATTTTCCAAAGGCAGTATAATCTGGAATTATTTATTTTGTAAATATACAATCAATATGATCACACCATGTAAGCGAAGGTAACTCTAGATTATATGTAGTTATCAACTTGTTAGATTTTCGTATTCATAAATTCAGTTACATCGTGGTTATATATAGTTTTTCTGAAATCCATAATAATCGCATTTGTCCTATCAACATTCAGTTTAAGATAGTAATTTTGACAGTATTTTACGAAGAAATTGATTTCATTTAAGTAGGGAGAAGATTCTTTTCCATTAAGTAATCCAGACATTCTGAATCATCTGCTGCGTTCGAATTAATTGACACAGTGTGCTACCCGGTCTGAAGTCAAAAGAGGTCTATTTGAAATAAGAGAATAGATGCTAAACAGGTTCCTTGGGGCACCACTGTTTGGTATTGTGACCGACAATTTAAAAGTTAGGAAAATAGAATTGTGTTTGCATGGTTAGAAAGTCAAGATTGCGGATGGTGTCACCTTGCCTTCAATTTGCCTTCGTTTATCTCTA